TTAGAAATTTTCTAGTAGTTTGGCCTAAAAAATCACCTAGTTCACTCTGCTCAATGCGAGCGAGGACACATGCTACTATGTCTTTAAATTTTTTTCCCTTCAATTTCAGTCAGTAGCGATATGTTATCAATTAACAGCTGAGAGAAGGTCAACAAAAAATCAATAGCCGAACTCGGGATCCAACCTGATATCGTTTTTGGAAAATTAAAGGATTACTCAGATAAAGTGAAGTCTGGATTGTATGTATATATGTATGCATGTCAGTTCTGAAAATAATTTTTTGGACCAATAAGCCCCAAACTCTGCACTTAAGCAAGATCGTGTGAACACATATAATTTCTGAACGGAAACGCATTGGAGTGAAGCAGTTGCTCATGTGGATTAGCACGTGGGGGAGGGGGAGTAAGTACACAACGATAACTGTAGGACAAAGGCAGCCGATTTGTGCGCATTATTATTTTTGTCATATTCAAAGAAACGAAGAACAAAAAGGCTGTAATTTCACTCCGGAAAGTATTACCAGGCATCTGAGCATCTAGCTGATTGAATAATTACGCGAAAATGTAGGCTCACATACTTGGCCCTGAGGAGAGGGCTGGAGAGAGCTTTCGAAATACGCTCGCAACTTTCTGTTCCACTTTCTTTTCTTAGTGTACACGAATGATTCTCTTGAAAAAGAAATGTAACTTTGAGCGTTGCTCAATAATACGGTTTCACACGCATTCACACATCAGATTCAAACAAAAGGAAAATAGGAAGCGATGTAGCAAAATAGACCTAGACGTTAATGACAGCTGTACTCTCACGAAAATACAAGCCTAGGATGGAGATTGTACCCAAAGATCCTTACAACCGAAAATCGGAGATGCCAACTACCTTAGTCAATCGTTCGATGGGTTGAGTTACGATTTTGTTGCGCCAAACAGTTCATTGCATGAAATTAGGAAATTGATGTTCACTATCAAAGCAATTCAAAATCATGTAAACCCTGAGGTTTCTGTACAGAAATAGTGCGGAGCGATTGCTCTTTCGAACGATAAACAATCATCGCTAAGCAATGGACATCGAACATAGCAAGGTAATTACGCAGAGCTCCACGATAAGAAAAATCCAGAGTGATGATAGCCCCTGGATTTTTGATGGTAGCTTGGAACTATAAAAATACTTTAGGTTCCCTCAATTGATGCCGGGTGTAGCCGACTTAGCCAGCCATAGCCACAAAAAAATAACGCTGAAATTGGAAGGAGATAAAAGCTTTTGCTACCATCATTTAATAAAATTGACATGTTGATAGTTACCCAATTTACTTGGTTGACCCTTCACAATTAGATGCATCTTTTTAGAGCGATTTACGAGGATCGCATTGCGCATTTTCGTCCAGCCACTGCGCCTCTATTCACAAACGTTTATGGCAATACGGTAGCATCATTTCATATAAGTTAGTTTCTACCGCAGCTACACTGAGAAGCTTTTCCAGACGAATGCGATACGTGAATGTATCTAAGCTTGTTGTGGTAGCCATCAAACTACTTTTTTATAACTCACAAGAATGATCTCCATAATATATGGGTACTTTTATCAAAGGGTTCGTAAAATTTTGGTGAACTATATATATATGTATATATATATTTATTTATTTATTCACTTATTTATTTACTTATATATAACG